CCTGAGGGGGCCGAGGAGCCCGCGCGCAGCCGGGCCGCCCCTCACCCACAAAGGCAGCAAGGCGCGGACTATTTATACATTTATTTATAATGAAAGTATGGTTCTAATTATTTACAACACATACGAAAGAACAACGTTTGTACAAGTGAGCCGGCAAGGTCTGTCAGTGTGCGGCAGCGGCACGCGTCCCCCATTTTCAAAACGGATTTCGAGAGCTGCCCAGCGCCTCGTCGCAGTCCCAAGCGTCACCTCTCCGCACAAGAGAGTTCTCTCTGCACCGGCCCGCCCCGCGGTTCAGGTCCGTAAAAAGTCCAACAACTTATTCCCAGGTTCACGGGAAGAGCAGGGCCTGCGCGGGCTGGCGCTGCCCGCCTTCCCTTTGGGAAACCACCCCGGAATGGAAGGGGTAGCACGGAGTGAGGGAGGGAAAAGACGGGGCAGAACCTCCTGAGGAGGAGTTCTGTCCAAACTGCGAGATGGGAAGGAATCCAGAGGTGACCGGAGAAGATGAAGTACCAGCAGTCCAGCCCCAGGCCCACCTGGGGAGCAGCGGCAAGATGAACCCATCCGAAAAACTGAGCATCCTCCCCCCCCGCCCCACCCCAGCCCCGGCATCTGGCTAGAAGGAGAAGTTGTGGGGTTAGTAAAACCACATTCGAAAGAAAAAAAAAAAAAAAAACAACAGTGCTGAGTTACAAGAGATGCTTAAAGTAAAAACAAATTAAGAGTTTTAGGAAATGTGATCCTCCAGTTTTTCAGAACTACTGTACGTTCCTTTCCTTTGTTGAGAGTCCAAGCAAACATCGAAGCCGGGGTCACCATTAGCTCAACAGGACTGCAAACGCAGGCTGACAGCCAGAACGCTCAATAAAATATGAACATCAGGTGTAGAATGAAGTCAGTGTGACTGACTCTTTCCATTTTTAAGTTATCCTGGAAAAATGGGAAATGCAGACCAACAGGCTTCCCTAGCTTCTCTTTACAGTACTTCCCCCATTGTAGAAGGAACTAGCCCTGTCAGAATACTATTTCAAATATTCCTTTTTTTAAATCGACAAATTCACTGCAGAAAGAAGGATTTTAAAAATAATGGAGCCCTTTTGAGGGGGAATACCAAACCTTTAGCTTCTGCAAATGTAAAAACAATGTGTATTTGCAAAGTTCATTCTGTAATATACATGCATTATTGCTAGAGGGAAAAAAAAAAAAAAAAAAAAAAAAGATGAATGAAAACTCTTCTGCAGCTTTTATGGTGCCATCCAAAATGGCATCTGTTGTTTAGCTCGCTGTTGTGAGGAAGGGTACTGGTATCCCAAACTCCATCCCTGTGAAAAAGTACTTGCGTTTTTATGGCCACCATGTTCCTCCTCTTCATCTGATGAATCTCCAGCATATGCCACTAATCCAAAGCCCTTTTCTGCGGTTTTCATCTTCTTAGCTTGATGATCTAGGAAGGGAGAACAAAAAAATCCCCCCAGCCCCCCCAAGAAGGAAAAATAAAAATAAAGAGATAAAATGCCCCAAAACGAGTTAATAAAAAAGAGACGTTAATTGTAAATTGTTAGTTGGACACCATTTTGAGGTCACAAGGCCAATGGTCATCCAAGGTCGAAGGCCACACGAAACAGCACCAGCAACAGCACATGTGATCCATCAGAACCATGTAAGAGAACAGAGAAAGAAGAAAGAAACACACAAAAAAGTTAAAGTTAGCAAATGGGTCTAAGTGATGGCAATTTCACCGTTAAGAGATAAATATGTAAAGAAAAGTAGAAATTTTGTTCAAAAGAAAGCTAACAGAAGAACAATCTCTGGTACCAGTACTGCAGAAAAACTAAGGTTAAACAGGCTAAACTAAGGTTAAACAGATGTACCTGCAGACCTGAAAGGCACTAAACTACCAGGAGAGTTAAAGTGATTACGTTTTACCAAGTTGCAAATACTTGATGTATGACACAGCCCTATGAGACGATGAAATCTGACAGCACTTCTGTTGTTTGCAGACGTGACTCAGGTCTGTAAATACACACCTGAACCATAACTCCCACCGATACTCCTTAGTGCCTCTAGAGGTAGCTGCTCACAATGTAAAGCCACGAGATCTCTGTTACACAACAGTCCTATGAGATTCTGTGCCTCAGCTGACTGATGGGTCAAAAATACCTGTCTTTACGTCCTTCACTTAATTACACTCCCCACAGTGATACAGATATTTACTAAACTTTTAAGAGAAGCATCATTACAGAGAACATAAGTGATTTTAGAGCAGTGCAACATGACCTGCTTTTCACTTTAACAATGCGGTATAAGGAACAGCCAAAAAAAAAAAAAAATCACCTATTTAAAACAAATGTCAAGACCATTGCAAACTCCTTTGGGAAAGGAAACTTGACTTACAAGTCTATTTCATTCATCGCACTCACCATGGTTGCCTGGTAAAGACCCCGCACCGTTTCTTTCTTCAGATTCCGATTTCATCCCAGTGACAGGAAAAGCTGGCGGAGGCATCAACTGCCTATTTAAACCAATGCAAGCCCTTATTTTTGCTTTTTTTTTTTTTTTGAAACAAGCAAAGTGTCAACAGTAATAGCAAACAAATTCGTAACTCAGTCCTCGACCTGAGGAGTTTAACCTAGTGGCCTTCTACAGTGGAGTGACTGCATCAGTTGACAAGGGAAGAGCAACTGATGTCACCTACCTGGACTTCTGTAAGGTCTTCAGTATGGTTCCCCCCAACATTCTTGCCCCAAAATCACAAAGAAATGGATTTGATGGACAGGCTATTAGATGGGTAAGGAATTGGCTGGATGGCCACATCCAAAGCGTTAGTCAACAGCTCAACATCCAAGTGGAAACCAGTAATAAGTGGCACCCCTTAAGGGTCCAAACTGCGACCAATACTATTTAATGTCTTCCTCAATGACATAGACAGTGGGATCCAGTGCACCCTCAGCAAGGTTGCAGATATCCCTATACACTAAAGGGAAGGGATGCCATCCAGAGGGACCTTGACAGGCTTGAGGAGTGGGCCCATGCAAACCTCATGAAGTTCAACAAGGCCTGCACTTGGGTCACAGCAAGCCCCAGCCAGGGAAGAAGGGATTGAGAGCGGCCCTGCAGAGAAGGACTTGTGGATACTGGTGGATGAGAAAATGGACACGAGCCAGCAATGTGCACTTGCAGCCCAGAAAGCCAGTCTTGTCCTGGGCTGCATAAAAAGAAGTATGGCCAGCAGGTTGAGGGACGTGATTCTCCTCCTCCTCCTCTTACCCCACCTGGAGCACTGCATCCAGCTCCAGGGTCCCCAGCACACGACATGGACCTGTTGTAGTGGGTCCGGAGGAATTAAAAAATGATCTCAGGGACAGAGCACCTCTCCTACGAGGACAGGCTGAGGGAGGTGGGGTTGCTTGGCCTGGAGAAGAGAAGACTCTGGGAAGACCTTACCACGACCTTTCAATACCTAAAGGGGTCTTATAAGAAAGATGTAGAGAAACTTTTTACCAAGGCCTGTAGTGACAGGACATGGGTAACGGTTTTAAACGAAAAGAGGGCAGATTTAGATTAGATACAAGCAAGAAATTCTTTCCTGAATGGTGATGAGACACTGAGTTTCCAGAGAAGCTGTGGATGCCCCATCCCTGGAAGCTTTCAACATCAGGTTGGACAGGGTTTTGAACAACCTGATCCAGTAGATGTCCCTCCCCACAGCAGAGGGGGACAACTTGATGATCTTTAAAGGTCCCTTCCATCCCAAATCATGCTTTGAAGTAAAGTGCAAGCCCAACAGTTTTGTAGCTCAATGCACTGGAGCGCATAAGGAAGAGTAGTGATGCCTGATGAATTCAAATAGCTATGCTGAACTTAGGACTTCATGCAAGGCGGACAACACAGAAAACTTTACCAATAGCCCTGATGTATTTCATAATGACTGGAAAACAAAACAGACTATCAAGTAAACCCTTCCCTGAAACTTCAGCCTGCAAAATTTCAAGCTTACAACTTTTTCAGATTTATTTTAAAGTTGAAATAGTTTAAAGTGTAAGAGCTAACCTTTTTCACAAGAATATCCTGTTATGTCAAGAAGTTGGCAACGTACCAGACCCAGACAAAGTAAGAGCACACAGACTTAAAAGGAGTGGAAATCAAGCTATTTTCATTGTGTAGTGTGAAAAGGTAACCCTTGCATCCCTTCTTAAAAAAGTAAAACAAAAAAATCCCACCCACAACAAAACAAACAGCCCCCCTAATGCCCAAGTCAGAGAAACAAATATGAAACAGATCAGTTCTCAAGTAATCTTTCCATCAGAAT